CCTTATTTGGGAAATATAACCATTTCTAAAATAATAATTAATCTTACTCTGTTTGCGTTTCAACTTCAACTTCTTTTATTAATACTTCTTTTGAATGGAACGTGGTTTTAAACAATTATTGAGACATTACAAAGCAAAATGAAGTGTGCCGTGGCAAAGTGTAATAGTGAAAACAAAAGGAAAGCGTGCGATATAAAATTTTTTTCGTTTCCTACGGACGCACATCTGGCGAAAAAGTGGAAGCAGTTCTGCCGGCGAGGAGGCATCTTACCGCGCTGTTACGTTAATACAAAACAGTGCCCAAATTGTTGTACATTTAAAAGTTCAGTTTAAATTATATTTTACTTATATAGAATATTTGTTTCCAAAGAAGCCACACTCATACATCCTCTTGGAAATGGTACAAAAGTCATCAAATAAAAGCTGTGGCGTCAACAGCTGTGCACTGTGGTGGTTGGCTACCGTCCACAAATATAAATATGCACTCTGCATGGCTTTTTACAATGACGAGTCCAAAAATTCACTTTCCTGCACACCTTCCTTTTGGTCTACATGAAATTGCAAACACTGTTATTGCATCCGTTTTTTATGTGCTAAAAATCGTACTTACCTAAAGGGCTACATGTCCAAAATTATTGCTACGTGCTCCTAATTAATCAATCTTTGTATATTTATTGATTCCTGCGAAGTTGGGCCATGTCATATTAAAATTAAGATATTTTTCTTCATTATTTACATATTTTTATATGCGTTTTGGCATTTCTCCTTCGCAATTGTACCAAGTTGACGTCACGCAAAAATTACGCTCAAAAATCCTCTCTCATTGGCGCAATCTTGTATTCTATCATTCCTTGATTATATTGTTGGCAAGCGTCAGACTGCCTCTCAACGGTTGTACCTTGTTATTTTTTTTTATCATGGGCGGGTGCAAGGTGTACTAAACAAGGTGTGATTGACAACTCAGGTAGGCTCTCTTTTAAGGACTATTATGCCAAAAAATATATACAAACGATTCAAAATTTATACAAAATTTTTTCAATTTGACTATATAGGATGGTTCTTCTGAGAGCAATGTCAAATTCAATCGCACTTTGTTGAATACATTTTGGGCGGGTGTGCATACAAATTTTAGGTATGCATACATGTANAAAATTTTCAATTTCTCTGCTTGTTGTTGCGACTGGTCTGAATGTTTATAGTACGCAATGCAGAATTTGTATACAAAATTATAAACCCAGCAAACATTTGGATTCACAAATATGTCACTTAATATAATTTTTTAAAACTAATTTCGCATTATAACTTCATTAAAGACTATTTCATACAAAAAAAGAAAAGCAAGAAATCTTTAACATTGGAGCCCATTCAAAACCGTGTAAACCGCTTATGTATGTATAAGGATAAATCATTAAAATAACAAATTCTACCAGTTTTAATTTTTTATTAGTTTTTTGATGTAAATGCATATTTAATAAAGATACGAACACATACATATATGTATGGCGGAAGTTTTGGGGAAACTTTCCTTTACGGCCTGTCGTTGTATGCACGGCGGGCGGAAGTGTAGGGGTGTGGCACCTCCCACGCCCTATTTTAGAGAGGGCATAAACCGCCCTTATAGGTACCTAGGGAGCCCTGGTTTTGAACGCCAATCTCGACATGCGCTTTCGCTTTTTTTGGGTAGATAAAGGCACTCACTTTAGCCTTTCCGTGTTGCCGGAGAAGAGTGGGCCCGCCAAACATAAGGGCCGCGCTTAGGGATTATAACCGTTACTAAGTAGAATTCTCATTTCCGTGTTGTTGGAGAAGAGGGGCGAATGCTTCTCTTTTTTTGTCAAATGTAATCCATGTGCTACGTATACATGTGATAAATAACAATTTTGGCCAACCCTGAAACAAAAGAGTTCATATAGATTTAAAACCCGCAATTGTGGATATTTCGACATTATTAAATAATAAAAGTACTTTAAAACAAAAGCGAGATCCTTTGGCAACGTGTGCATGTGTTAAACATAAATTTCGGCCCACCCATCCCGACTTTATAAGGAAAGCCAATCCGAAACTTTTGCAGATTGTTTATTGGAACAAATGGTGGTAGTATATTCGCCAAAAAACCTTTAAATATGACTCCATAATGAGCCATATGTGAGGACAATAAAAGTCCACTATTACCAATTTGCGGCTCTAAATGTTTGCTGGGAAGACGTAGATCCGTATGCCGTGATGTTCGCTCACTTCAACGATTACGGCGAGTTTGGAGTTTGGACGTGTCGCATAGGTGTATACCGAGCTGACATGATGAAATTGAATTTCGGTAGCGAAATTTTGTCAATGTTATGAACGTTTTTTATTTAAAAATGGGCGAGTGCGTTCTGCTCACTTTCAAGAATAAAATCACCAGCAAATTTCAATTTGCATTCGATTTACACTTCAGTTGTCACTATTATTATGTTAATCCGGTTTCACGTGAAGTTATAACACTTTATGTTGTTATAATAAGCTTTGCCACGATTTTATATCAAAAATGCCCATTTGATTAGGATTACTAAAATATGCTATATGGCAGCTATATTTTCTACGTTTTGTGTACTCCCCTTTCTCGTAAAATATTTCAGCCAATCAGAATTCACTTCGCAACTACGTTATTGGAGAAAAACAACTTTTTGACAGCACTATGTCGTAACCTTCTAAGAACCTTGGTGCCAAGTAATGACAATATCCATATTTGAGAATTCATACGAGAACTGATGTATTTGTGTTAGTTTTTTATTTGAATTTACCCTCAGTAAATCAAATATCAAAATCAAAAATGTAATCAAAATTGATTTTAATCGCAAAGTTGAATTCCTATTACTTAATTAAATAAAACAAGTCGTTTCATGTAAAAGTTTTATATAATTTTCAATTCTGAATACATTTTTTATTTTGTTTTGGTTTTGTTTTAAAATCATTTTTAAATGTTTTATCCGAAAATGAATTCTACATTTGGAAAATAATTTTTTAACCTTTGTGTCCATTAAAATGTGATTACTTTTTCAACTAAAGTGTCACATAAATTTTTCGCACATATTAATTTTGCTATCGTTAAATTCTAGAAAAATTTGTTTTAAACGTTTTATATTAATAAAAAACTTGCTTTTGGTTTCACCAATGTTCCGCCTCTCCGATCAACCCACGACCAGCCAGCTTCATTGGATATCTCGTTGCTTCAATTTAGCTTTTTTTTTATAATATACCCCGAAACGTATTCAAGGGCATCTTCGTGTAAATCATCAATTTCATTAGGACTTTCTAAAATAGTTTCGTTGATTTCTTCAAAATCATTTGCATCATCAAACACAATGTCGAGCCAATCTGTGGTATCGATTTCCACATTGCGAGTTGTGCTTAATAGCTCCGTATTTTTTGCTACAAAAGAAAAGAATATAGCATGATGTGTTTACGTGGAAATTTGATAATACCGAATAGATATTTGCGTAAACGGTATTTAAATTGAAGAGGACTGGGGTGATCGTTAAGTCCACCAACAAATCGCATTGCGCCAAAAAAGTGTTCCAGACCATCTTGATTTAAATTTCTTGTTAAAATTGTGTTGATTCCATAATTTTCTTTATTTTTTATAATTGTTTTTTATTTTTTATGATAATTCCTTTCTGAAATGGTGCCAAACCTGATTTTCTATCAGGAATAATTTGCCTTGCCATAAGAACGGTCATTTCATCTAACAATTTTTTGTGTTTTTGATATCAGCTCCAAAAGGTTTTTTGAATGGAGTATACTTTATGTTTTCGCACTGTGAATTTAATAAACCGAACCAATCATTTACTAATTGCACAAAGTTTGCACAATCGCACGCATTTAAAATATCGTATCCAAGTGAATAATAGCGTCTTAAAGCATTTGACGTGGTATTGGAAAACCACCTTGTTGCCAACTTCACCTTTTGCCGGTTAACACTAGACACCGTTAAATTTTGTTCCGTTAATGTATGGGCAATGGTCATATCAGATTTTGAAGTATGGTCTAAAAGTTGTTTAAATGTTTGCACTTAGATTATTTTATCGTTAAAAATTAATCCGCTATCTATGAAATGATTCTTATCAACTTCAGAAGGTGTGGCACGTCCGCGAATACATAGATTTTTCACTATTTGCAGGGCTTTCAAACCAAGTTTTATCTTAAATACATTAAATTTAATTCATATTTGCCTGCGTGTACATGAAAGAATCAAACAGAAAACCTACCAGTCGAAATATTTAACTCTCACCAAAGTTCTTGATTGCAGGGACCCATATCAGACACGATACCTACCACTGTGAAGTTGATTCTTTGTAATTTCAGTACCAGCTCGAATAATATGCTTTTGGTCATTTTTATGTCAAAGTCATAAAAAATTGGTTGCTTCCACTTTGCTTTCAACCCACGGGCCATAANATTTTCTGTCGCCCTTTTTCATTCGGGGAAGAATAGCTGAAATTTGACAACGGCCCGCTAAAAGCAAAAGCGAAATACAAGTAATTGTAGTATTTGTTGAATCACCTAACAATATAACACCTTATATGTATTCGCCTTGGGTAATATTAACCTTTATCTACCTTTTAAAAATAATTAATATCTTATCTTAAAAATGTTTATATTTTTACTTAAGACTCGATAACCGCTTGCCAAAATCTTTATTTTTTTATTAATAAAATTTGAGTGAACACATTTATATACCATGCGACCAAGTATGCATACAAGTTTAATGGTGTGAGGGGGCGAGAAAAATATTTTCTGAACAAACCTTTTATTATTGAATCATGGTACATACATACATATATATTTGAATGCGACATGTTAGGAAGGAACAATAGGTACATCTTAATATGATCTAAATAAATTCAGCTAAGTAATCATATTGAACACATATTTGATATATTTNGCTCTAGGTTTTGATCGTATTTAGGAAGGATGATAACCTTATTTGGGAAATATAACCATTTCTAAAATAATAATTAATCTTACTCTGTTTGCGTTTCAACTTCAACTTCTTTTATTAATANCTCTTCTGCATCTTCTTCCTCCGGAGCCACTACGGCATCACCCTCAGATTTTATTGCCTCAATATGAGAGGACAATTCAATTATTGGTTCCTGTTTAATTTCAGAGATGGCTCTTTCCGGTTGCTCCATGACAGTTTCGGCTGTAACAATGCTATATAAACCTGAGAAACTTGATTCATCTGCTGGCTGTATAGCATGTAATTCTTGGCGTGCGATTTCAGCGAGCTCTGCAGCTTGACGCGCCAATTCTGCTTCCTGTTCTTCCGCAGCTTGTTTCTCGATTTCGGCTAAACGACTCAATTCCTCTTCTCGTAGGCGTTTTTCTTCTTCAAGGCGAGCTTTTTCTGCTTTTTGTGCAGCTTCTTCTTCCATTCGTAATTGTTCAGCTAAACGAGCTTCTGCTTCCAAACGGTCTTCTTCAGCTTTACTTGCTAAACGCGCTTCTTCAGCCAAGCGCGATTCTTTTGCTTTGCGCATGTCTTCAACTTTTCGTGCCTCTTCAACTGATCGTGCTTCGGCTTCGAGGGCTTCCTTAGCTAAACGCGTGTTTTCAGCCAAACGTGCTTCTTCAACCAAGCGTGCTTCTTCAGCTTTGCGTTCCTCTTCATTGGCATAGATGTTAGTGTATTCAGCTTCGAATTGTTCCTTTTCTGAATCTTCTTCAGTATCCTGTTTAATTATTTCGTTTAAAATTCTGAAATGAAACGTAATTTCAGATTATAGTCATACGTGATGATACAGCAAGTAATTTTTAAGCAAAAACAAAACCGACCTCAATTCTCATATAAAAAAAAAAAATATATATATTTCATGATCCAATGATCGGGTCTAAACCAGACTAGTATGGGACCACCTCCGAGACACTACCTTTCGGATGCAAAAAGAATTATCGAAATCGGTTGACGTGGTCCAAAGTTATGCGGTAACATACATAGAAAACAGTATTTCGACGAAGGAGTTTATCTCCTCTTTTTTTTGGAAGTCGGTTAAAAATGAACGTAGTTTCAATAAACCACTTTTTGATTAAAAAGCAGATTTTTGACCACTGCTCAATTGTGGAAAATTCGAAGCGGTCGTACCCAATTTAAGTTTTTTGATGGCGGGAATTTGGGATTATAAATAAAAAGTTAATATCAAGCCGAATTTATATAGGGAGGTGTTGTTTCATCAGCTTTGAGTAGCGTTTGATTGTCAAAATTTTGTATTTCGCTAGTGAGTGAATGATAGGGTNAGTCCAAAAATTCACTTTCCTGCACACCTTCCTTTTGGTCTACATGAAATTGCAAACACTGTTAATGCCTCCGNCTTTGAGTAGCGTTTGATTGTCAAAATTTTGTATTTCGCTAGTGAGTGAATGATAGGGGCGCCAGACATTATAGTGACATAATCAGTACAGTTGGGATCAAAAATCAGTACAAAGCCATAAAAATAAGCTCATTTTTAAACGTATTTTTAATTATTAACAATATAATAATTAATTTAACAAAAAATAACTAATAGACTTTTAAATACATATAGTATATTATCAATATAAAAATTCATTACTTTAAAACAAATCAAGGGTATTATGTATGTATGTACAGCTGCNAAGGTGTATTAAACAAGGTGTGATTGACAACTCAGGTAGGCTCTCTTTTAAGGACTATTATGCCAAAAAATATATACACACGATTCAAAATTCATACAAAATTTTTTCAATTTGGCTATATAGGATGGTTCTTCTGAGAGCAATGTCAATTCAATCGTACTTTGTTGAATACATTTTGGNAAATTGTTGTTGCTTGAGATTGAAAATGAAAATGTGTGTGTGAGTTTGTGAGTAAATTTAAAAATTAAATTGTTTGGAAACGTCAAGAATTTTAAAAGTGACTCTCAGCGGTTCTACCTTACTATATTTTTAGCATGGTTAATTCTATCACAAAAGACATGTGAGTTGAAGTCTCAAACTTTCTAGAAAATTTATAAAAATTGAAAAAAATTCAAAAAAAATNTTGGGCGGGTGTGCACACAAATTTTAGGTATGCATACATGTATAATGAAAATTGAAAATTTTCAATTTCTCTGCTTGTTGTTGCGACANCAGCGGTTCTACCTTACTATATTTTTAGCATGGTTAATTCTATCACAAAAGACATGTGAGTTGAAGTCTCAAACTTTCTAGAAAATTTATAAAAATTGAAAAAAATTCAAAAAAAATAAAATTGTAGCCCATTCAGTTTCAGTAGAAGACGAGCTCGAGTCAGAATCGGTTTGCATATTTTAAGCTACAAATTTAAAACATATTTAGTTGGTGTGCTTACTAAATACGACATTCAANTTTCATACAAAAAAAGAAAAGCAAGAAATCTTTAACATAGGAGCCCATGCAAAACCGTGTAAACCACTTATGTATGTATAAGGATAAATCATTAAAATAACAAATTCTACCAGTTTTAATTTTTTATTAGTTTTTTGATGTAAATGCATATTTAATAAAGATACGAACACATACATATATGTATGGCGGAAGCTTTGGGGAAACTTTCCTTTACGGCCTGTCGTTGTATGCACGGCGGGCGGAAGTGTAGGGGTGTGGCACCTCGCGCACCCTATTTTAGAGAGGGCATAAACCGCCCTTATAGGTCCCTAGGGAGCCCTGGTTTTGAACGCCAATCTCGAAATGCGTGAGGGGCGAACGCTTCTCTTCTTNTAAAAGGTATATTACCGAATTATCGCTAAACGAATTTTCGAGTACGAATGCAATTTAATAGTGTCAAATGTGTATGTGCGAGTAAAATTACAGGTGGTCGAACATCAAAAATCAAAGTAAAGCTACATATATCATATCCAAGCAGCGGCGGATCCAGAATGTTCTGATGGGGAAATTTTGCCCCTTATTTTAATTACGTTTCTCACCAACGANGAATTATCGCTAAACGAATTTTCGAGTACGAATGCAATTTAATAGTGTCAAATGTGTATGTGCGAGTAAAATTACAGGTGGTCGAACATCAAAAATCAAAATAAAGCTACATATATCATATCCAAGCAGCGGCGGATCCAGAATTTTCTGATGTGGGAAATTTCGCCCCTTATTTTAATTACGTTTCTCACCAACGGCTCTAACGTAGAAAAATGAAAAATCTTTTAAAAAAGACTTTCGAAGTTGTATTCCTTCCAATTGTCAAAAACTTTTTATTTGTCACGGGGAAAATACCGTAAAAATTATTTGTTACGTGCGAATATCTATAGAAATTATCGGGGTTTGAAAAACTGTTAGCACTGCGACAACAGCCAAGCATTTGCTTTTTTATAAATTGTTGTGGCTTTGCTAGCCGGCAATTACAAGTACCTGATGAAGATCTTGCAGAAGCAATGAGCTTAGCTAGTAATTTACTTTTCGAATACGTAGAAGAAGTATGCACCAACCTAGGTACAGAAATCAAAGTACCGCGATACAGCAGTCGCCAAAAGAATCGCTTTAATGTGAAAACCGGAGACGCCGAGGCATACTATCGCTTTGCTTTTTACATTCCCTTCCTTGATACATACATTGCTCATTTGAAAAGCCGGTTCCTAAACCATAAATCAGTTTTAAATACTTTTAGTGTTTTGTTTCCAAAGTATGATTTTAACGAAAAAAAACTGAAGAATTGTTTGGTTTTTTATGAAAAAGTAATCGACTGCTCGAAACAAAACTTTCTGCTGGAGGTAAAAATGTGGAAAAAACGAGTTTCACACGAACATTTTCGAAATGCTCTCGAAGCATTACAAGTAGCTGATACAACGTCTTTTGGGAATGTTTTTAAGATCTTACGTATATTGGCACTTTTGCCCGTTTCAATAGCCACACCTGAACGAAGCTTTTCATGCCTGAAAAGAATTAAAACCTACTTGAGAAATACAACATGCTAAGAAAGGCTCAACGGTCTAGCATCTATGAATATTCACAAAGATATAAATTTTTCAGTTGACGAAGTTCTAGAAGAATTTTTCAAAAAACCACGAAAAATTTGAAAATTCTTCGTTATCAAAATTTTTTAAAAATAAAGCGAAAAATTGAATATATGATTTTAAAAATTCGTGTTAGAAACTTTATTACGCATACTTTCTTCTAAAGAG